TCTATACAAATTTTTAACATGGGAATGGGTTATGGAACTACACCCTCACCCATAGTCCATAATAAACAAGAAAATATACTAAATTATGATTACCAAAATTTTCAATATAGAAGTAAAATTTCACATTCAATAGCAGTACATTATATTCAGTATTTTTATTATTATTATTATTATTATTATAACTGTATTTTCTAGCAATACGTAACTGAACTTAAGTACACCATGGGCTTTAGCCCACTCAATTTAATGCTTCTAGTTACGTCTATGACCAGCAACCACCAGCATCCTAATAATATTTCCTAGATCTATAATATTATAACGTTGGTTTGTATTTGCGTGCCTCTTTTGTAGTGCGGTCGACAAGAGTTTACGTGGTTCGGTGATAATTGAAAAATAATAAATATGTTTCGTCATTTATCTATGCCCGAATTGGCTAAGATAGCGGTTTTAATAGACGAAGATGAAGAACAACAAGATGTTAGACAAACAAATATTAAAAAAAAGGTTGATTTGGGTTCACGACATTTTGAAAAAACGGAAGACTGAAGGTGAATTTGCTACTCTTTGTCGATAAACAAAACACACACTTCAGAGAATCAATACCAGCTAAAGAAAAACTGGCTGTATGTTTGAGGTAAATCAATGTTATAGTACTATTTTAATGAAAATCACACAAATTATGCGCATAATATATAAGCTAATTAAAGAAAACATTTTATATTATTTGTTTAATTAAATTTTCAGTTTAAATTTAAATTTAATTTTTACAATCAGCAATTTAAATATAAAGGTTAAATTATAATTGTAAATATATTTGTAATAGCACCTGGTGTGCTGAAACATTTTCAAAGAATAAATAAAAAAAAAAATTTAATTTTCATATTTAAATTCAATATTCTTCATAATGTTGACCCCGAAAAAAAATATAATAGACCTATAAAACTATGTTTCAAAACTGGTTTCAAATATTAAATTATTTATTTTATATAGGTTTTTGGGAACCGGAGATTCTTATCAAACTATAGCATTCAGTTTTCGATTGGGTCATTCAACTGTCCAGGGAATTGTCTTAGAAGTATGTGATGCTATTATATCTAAAATGAAAAATGAATGCATACCATGTCCCAAAAAAGAAGATTGGGTGAAAAATATCCAACGAATTTTGGGAGCTAAAATTAAACATTTTAGCACAGATTTGCAAAAAAACGTGGAGTGGCTTAAGAGATGCTTATAGGAGATCATCCAAAAAATTAATAACTGTTTCTGGTCAAAAATCTAAATTTGTTAAGAAATGGAAATTTTCTGATGAAATGGAATTTTTGAAAAAGCACATGAAAGAAAGAGAATCTATTAGTAGTGTGAACAGGGTTAGTGATGATGATGATGCTGAGTTGTCTTATTCAAATAATGAAGAAACTCGTTCGGAATACATGAGTGAAAATTCAGATGGATCAATTGAAGTTGGTCAAGAAGTTATAGAGCCATTAGCAAATCAGAGTGTAAAAACATCTGCACCTTCAACTAAGCAATCATTTCCTAAAAAAAAATTTAAAAGAAATGAAACGAACCCTGACTCCACTGTACCTCAAAATGCATCAGCTACACTTATGAAATTTATTTTAGACAACAGAGACAACAAATCGAGCGAAGCAGATAAAAAATTAGACGCTTTAGATCAATTTTTTTCTTCTATTTGTTCAACAGTGAAACAGTTTTCTCCATATTTGCAACATGTTGCTAAGAATAAATTTTTTTCAATAGTATCTGAAATGGAATTGGAACAATTAAAGTATACACAACCACAAACATACTTGAATACTTTTACAGATCAACAATTAGCTGTAGCTCATCCATCAGTTCAGCCATACAACTTTCAAAACATCGAAACATCAACAGACAATGTATCTCAATTTTATAGCTCAGTACCTACTACTTCTTCTTCAACTGGTACCTATTTTCAAACAAGTACAGAAGAAAATATTTAAATTTTTTTATCAAAATCGTGTACATTAATATTTTGAAGTTTCATTTATTTTAATTTATATTTTTTATACTGTTTTAATTAAATAATGTTGTTTTTTATGTTTTATTATAATAATATAATGTAATATTGTTATAACATATTTATATTTTAAAGGGTTTTCTCACCAACCTATGAAGCGGATGTGCTGAGGCAACATAAAATTTTGAATTATAAAAGACCTTGAGACAAGGAGAGTCGGAGGCGGTCGTAGAAGTCGGGAATTCGTGGAAGTCGGGCAGTCAGGGAATACTGTCAGTCCCGCAGGCCAACAGTTCATTAATCGTCGAAGTTTTGCGACGGAGGAAGGCTGTTGTCAGACGGACATAGTGTTTTTGGATTATTGTTTTAATTCTTTAATATAAAGTATTTCCGACCAAATTAATTTATATTTTGATTGAGTAGCCACACAATTCTGTCGTATTCCTTGAATCCGATATGAAACCGGTTAATTTATGGTCGTTGAGGATTTGAGGTTTAAACGACGAAGGTAATCCTATGTTATTCGTATTCTTTCAATCCGATCTGAAACCGGTTAATTTATAGTCGTTGAGAATTGAATGTCTAAACAAATAAGATAGCAATATCGACTTTTGAGAGCCATCTGAAACCGGTAATTTTATAGTCTTTTAGTGACTCAATTGTCGGTAAAGGTATAACACAACATTATTTAATGTACCAAATGCACCTCGCTTGTTGGAAACTGAAAGAAAATCTTTGTATGAGGTATATATCATAATTCATTATTAAAACAAATTTATTATAATTAAAAATATCTCCTACACACTCTCAACATAACTCCCGATGCTCGCCATATACTTTCCTCTCAGTCTGTTACCGCCGTTACCGCCACAGTTTCGTTCTTTCTTAATTCTGGGTTGCTTATATAATCTACTTATAGCATGTACACATAATTGTCGAAATTAATTGTAAACTACAAATTTCAATAAAAAAAAAAAAAAATAAATAATTAAAAATATGCTTTGTTGCATAAATCAAATATATAACGATTATCAATAGTAGTTATTTTAATCTACATTATGTAATTAATTAATTTAAATTTTACAGTCTTATTGTTTTTATTTTACAGACCATACGTATTTGTAATAGTGACATGTTTCTTTAACTGAAAAAAGATTATCATAGACAGAAGTAAGTTTAATTTAAGTTATTTTACTTAAATTTAAATTTTTTTGTATTTTAGTTGGTAACAAATAATATAACCATTGATGATAAAAATTCTGAGCCGGTTAGCTGCTTGAATGAGCCATGTTTGTTACTGGATCCAATAGTAAGTCTAATAAATTATAATTAAAATATTTATTATTTTGCTGCTTAAATACTTAATGCATGTTGGTCTATGTGGGAGAGTCCGATTGTCAAAATTTTTTTTTTATTGTGTTGGTATACATGCCCCTAAAGTATGATAACGTTTTCAGCTATAATCACTGTTTACTTTGTCTGTGGTAGTCACTAAGGTACGACGTGTTTTTATGTGCTCGGCGATTTTTGCTCGTTTAAACAATGGAAGAATTGAAGAGTCAAAGGATTTGTATTAAATTTTGCGTAAAAAATGAAATAAAGTGTAACAAAGTGTGTGAAATGTTACAAAAAGCCTATGGTCAGTCTGTTATGAAAAAAACAAGTGTTTGCGAGTGGTATAAGCGTTTCCAAGATGGCCGCGAAGACGTTGAAGATGACGAACGCTCCGGTCGACCTAGCACGTCAATAATCGATGAAAATGTGAAAAAAGTGGAAAAAATGGTTATGAATGATCGCCGAATCACAATTAGAGAAGTTGCTGATGAAGTTGGCATATCGATTGGTTCATGTCATAACATTTTTTCAAATGTTTTGGACATGAAACGAGTGGCAGCAAAATTCATTCCAAAACTGCTGAATTTTGACCAAAAAAACAATCGCATAAACATCGCTCAGGAGCTGCTAAATGACGTCAACAACGATCCAAGTTTACTTGAAAGGGTCATAACTGGTGATGAAACATGGGTGTACGGTTATGATGTCGAAACTAAAGCACAATCGTCCACCTGGAAGCATTCAACGTCACCAAGAGCGAAAAAAGCACGTCAAGTTAGATCAAATGTCAAGGTTTTGCTTACTGTTTTCTTCGATTTTAATGGCATAGTACATCAAGAGTTCTTACCACAAGGTCGTACGGTTAATAAGGAGTATTACCTTGAAGTTATGCGACGTTTGCGTGAAGCAATCCGAAAAAAACGCCCCGATTTATGGAAAAACAATTCATGGCTTTTGCACCACGATAACGCACCTGCTCATTCGTCGTTACTTGTTCGTAATTTTTTGGCCAAAAACAATACTGTAGTCATGCCCCAACCTCCATATTCCCCAGATATGGCTCCGTGTGACTTTTTCCTGTTCCCAAAGTTGAAGAGACCCATGAAAGGACGGCGTTTTTCCTCGATTGAAGAAATAAAAGCCGAATCGCTGAGAGTGCTCAAGGACATGCCAAAAAGTGAATATCAAGAGTGCTTCGAAGATTGGAAAAAACGCTGGCATAAGTGTATTTTATCTGGGGGGGACTATTTTGAATGGGACCACATTGATGTAGACGAATAAAAAAATATTTTTTTGAAAAAACGAAAATTCCGGGTACTTTTTGAACACACCGTATACGAGTAGAACGTTTCAGCTAATGTCATGTATTACAAACAATGTACGTTAATACATTTTCGGGTGTAAAATGAAACAGGGAGTTTTTGTAAATTTAAGCTTTACTGTGAATTTTTGGTTTGAATAGTATTTAAAATACGTAAAAATAAATAAAATATAATTTAATAATACGAGTATGTATTATATCGTATATATATTTAGATAAAATAAAACTAACATGGTATATATTAAACAATTTAATGAATCATTGATAAAAGTAATACAAACAGAAGTAAAATATTATTTCATTCCATAAAGCTGATATACGTCTACTGTTAAACATGTATATACATGCTTCAAAAGAGTGATGCAACATATCAGATATATAGATACTGATTTAAAAATCACATCTGATTGCAATAAAAATTTGGTCTGTATCATTATGCTTTTTTAATAGTTATCTCGTTAGATTTTAGGTGCCTTTTATAGTAATATATTATTATTCAATGTTATTCAGTTTGTGTAATATATATTAAACATATAATTATTATAATTATTGATATAATATTTTTAGACTTTATTCAATGTTTATTTTTCTCCATGAGAATTTATAAAATTAGTTGCATATTATGTAACAATAATCAAGTCACTGTATTTTCTTCTTTGTAAAATTGTTCAAAAGAAAAAAACTACATACTTCATTATGACGTATTTGTATTAAATATATTTTCTGATTTTTTTTTTTTTTTTTGGATCTCATTTATATAATATATAATATTCCCTACACACGATTATGACGATTAAATTGTCTGACATATTAATTAATATTTAACGTTTAAAAAATTAATTTTTTTAAATTATAATTATTGTTTTATTAATATTAATATACTAAACTTTATTTTTATTGAGAAATGTTTAATTTAAAATGTATAAACATTAGAATATAATAAGTAAATGATAACTATGTGATGAAATATAACAAAATATGGCTTGAATGAACTTGAGAGATGGAATCCATTCAGTAACAATACTTCCTAATTAACATGATGGGTTTTAAGAGGACACCGTTTATTATTATTATTAGTATTTAATACGATTATCTCCTGGCCATTTTCTTTTAAGTCTTCTCGGTGGGTTGCTGGTAGACTAGGATTGGGCCGGCGAGCTACCTAGAAAATCTCAGTGGGCCGCTCAAAATGAATGTTTGGTCGTAATTTATTTTTTATAATACTGATAAATTAGAACTAAAAGTAGAAGAAAACATAATTAAATCGAATTATTAAACCGTACACTAAATTACATAGCTATAATTAAACGTTAGAAGTCCTAAAATTCAGTAAGCCGATATCTTTTCTATCCGATGCTGGTTGTTGGGAATAGTGATTGATAACTTACGGGAGATTAGTGGATTCTGATTTGAGTAGAGTTTGAAATTAATTCTTTTATAGTATCGTAATGCTACTTTGATAACTATTAGGATTTGTAGATCATTATGTAGACTGTAGAGCATTGTTAATCATGCACTATAGAAATCCAATGATTTGTCAAAGACACGTGGATTGAAAGCTATGTTAGAGGGTTTAGCCAAATCTCAGAACATAATAACGTATAAACGGTGGGGGAAGTTTAAATTGTTTTGATCGTTTGAATTTTGTTTTTAAACTCATTTAAGTGGATAATATTGGATGAAGAAGATATAAGCGAGTGTTTAATTATATTTTGTATGTTAGACCTAAGTTAATTTTTTGTCTAAATGAACTCGTAAGTGTTTAGTTTAATTTTGAATTAATTTGGGCATATTGTTTAGGGATAGGAAGCAGTAATTTTTGTTAAGAGTACAATTTAATCTTAAAATTAACTGATTGGTTTTCATTTATCTTAATTTTTATTTATTCGTACAATTTTAGCCTGATTTAAGAGGTATATTTAATATGGTGGAAAGTAATATTTGGTTCTTTCCATTGTTAGTATAGCTGTAATTATCAAACATGTTATTAATAGTATTTTATGAGCGGACTTACTTAGATGAATTTAATAATTTTAACGTAAATACAAATTAAATTAATTAAAATTATTTATTAAACTACAATCAACATAATAATATAATAATATACAACTTTATATGATTATTGTATAAGCATATTTTTATTTTTTTAATATTTTATTTTATTTTTTTATGTAGTTACAGAATCTATTGAGCAACTTTTATCAGAGTATCTGATGTCTTTTGTTTACATATTGATACATAATCTCGCATCACGTAATTATATAATATAATATAAACATAAAACAAAAGTATCTTGTATCGTGTGACAATAAGATACTTTTTTTTTT